TTTTTTATTGCTTTTATCGACAGTTGATTTTAACAAACCTTATAAGCTCTAAGAAGACGGCGCTTTCGTTTTGTATACTTTCGCCACTGTTATCACAAGACTTTTGTATCCTACAAATCCAAATCAGAATCAAAAAAGTTTTGTGATCCCTAGTTTGGAAGCATCAAATGATGTTAACGGGCGTGGCTGACATTCGAAAAAAATTTTTTTACGCTCCGAGCCCCAAGAAATTTTTTAACGCTGAGACAAAAACACTTATCGAAGAATCGCTCCATTTTTCTGATCTAGATGATAGAAGTCATCAATTCACAATATCTACTAGTGTAATGTTTCAGTATGTAAGGCGTGGCGATCCCATTTCTTACTGGATGGGATACAAAATTTTTATGTCTTGTTGGATGGCCATGCATTTTATTCATCTTTGCACCATTATGGGGAGCATCTTTGGTGCTCAGGTGAGTATTTGTGTAAAGCAAAAGAAACATGCAATAACAATACGGGTCTTTTTAGATGACAAAAGCTGGGTTTCTTGTGCCACAAATTGTTGTGCTCGTCTTTCAAGCTGGACTCTACATTATTGGAACGTTTGCTTTGATAATTATCAGCGTTACCAGCGCTAAAATTACATGGATAGCTTTGCTGATAATATTCTTTTTCGCTTTGTTTACAACGTAAGTTTCATAGATGATGCTGATTATCTTATTGTTAAATTGCCAATAAGTTTTCGTTTCAGCACAAATCTCATCCTTCTGGTCAGATATCACCGAGTTCTGGAGGAGAAAAACATAGCACTGAAAGCTCTTTTGGCAAACACCAAAAGTGTCCACTTCAAAGAAAGACGAGGCTCATAAAACTTCCCATATACCTCACATCGTCTACCTATGAGTGCTTTCATTCCTACATTTCTGTAATGATAGCCACATGCATTCCAATCCATGATAAAATATCAGCAACACACCAGCAGATCAGTTATTCGAAGAAAGATATCTATCAAGAGTACATGAGAGTTGCTCAAATTGCCAAGAAAGGAAAAATCAGAGTTTTTTAAGCGAACGTCAAAAAAATGTTGTCGCATCAGTCCCCGAATCGTATGGAACTTATGAGAAAAGGTTACCCTAATTCCACGCGTGCAAGACGCAGATGATTTTTTTTCCAAAACAGATCAGGCCGAACACGACTTCGCAACCAAAGGACCATTTACTGTACTGTACATTGCTTAAGAAAATCGAGAGAATCGTGCGCCGCAAGGATCGCTTCCAAAATAAAGAAGCGGCTGAAAGCTCGCTTGGAAATTTGAAAAAAGGGCGCCTTGTACCGGTGAAACTAGGGTACTTTGATTCTTCCACTATAGTAGGCGTAGCCTGCCAAAAGAGACATGTCGAGGGCTTGGTCTAACGGAGCAATGCCGGAATCCACCTACTTATGGCATAACCTTTAGAAGATATTCTTCCCATTTACGCAGCTCACAATAGAGAATACCCGAGGACTTAAGGAACCTGGCTTCGGTAACTTACGCACGTAAACAGCAAAATCTGGTAATTCGCAAAGAAAACAATCTTTTCTGTAACAAAATAAGTCAAGGCACCATCAATTACCTTTTTCGCATATACAGGGTGTCCCAAAAATGTGCTTACTGTTCAAATGTTAATAACTCTCTTGCAAAGAAGTTTTTCAAGAGGGTTTGGGTACCATGTAGAGCTGGCTTCAACTTAGACTTATGGTGTGGAGGGAATCATCGATCGCTCTTCATTACTGTAGGATTACGGTAGGAGCTCCGAGAGTGTTTTGAGCCATAAAAGGCCATATTTTGCCCCAGAAAGGAAATAAAACGACCTGAAAACTCTCACACTGGACTAACTAAAGTTGTTGATCCTGATCGTGAAGTTCTAACTTATCATAATGCTTCAATAAAAGTTTATAAGAGATAAGCAGTGGCGGCCGTTTTTGCAACCCGTTTAGAAAGCTTCGCAATTTTTTACATAGTTGACTATTGAAATCAGCGTCCATGAGAACTCTATTACCAAGTTTTCACATTTTTTTCGAAAATTTTTGAAACGCAGCTTTTTTCATCACGATACCATATGCTTGAAGTTTCTACCGTAATCCTACAGTAATGAAGAGCGATCGGTGATTCGCTCTATACAGTAGATCTAGGTTGAAGTCAGCTTTGCAAAATGGTGCCTAAAGCTTCTTGAAAGACTTCATTTACAAAAGAGTTATTAACGATCAAACAGTAGACACATTTTTCGGGACACCCTGTATTTATCGCGTTATGTTAGCAAAGCAAAATCAAAAACCTATCGCATACAAGTGACAGTCAAAGTAGATGTCTCAGCCTCCAAAAAATTGCTTTTAAGACTGAGAATAAACTTCTTCATTGGTAACAAACGTGATCACAGTGATCAGTAATCCACGGCAAAATCAGTGATTTTCAAGAAAGCACCAATCATACGCACTCAAAAAAAAATATCTAGCAAGATAGAAGAGCTGAAGTAGTTCAGGCGTAAAAGTTAGTAAAGATTATTCGATCTCGTAAACGATGATTTTGAATGCTGGCTAGTAACTTTTTATGAATAATGTAGCTGTCATCCAAGTACGACCGTCGCTCAATTTCGGCATTGTGGAAATTGCTTTGAGAACTGCTTGAGCTTCGCACCGAGATCAGTTTCGCGCATCGCGAAAGGCACCCGCACTTCAACCCTCTCGCGATGAAAATAAATGCGGCTTATACGCCGGAAAATAGGGTAATTGCTTTATTCGACTGACGTTATGGCAAAATCGCCTTTTTCAGAGTCTGAAATCGTCGAATGCATGAGTATTCTATCCCATCAAAAGCCGCATCAGGATTTAGAAAAGAGATCCAATGCGTCAGTAAATCGAGAGCTACTCAGACAATCAACCGGACCCCTCCGCCGGACAGTCGGAATCTGCCAGAGTCGCGCCGGACCCAGTTGACCAATGAGAGAGGGGCAAATGGGCGGTCCGTCGCGGTGACATCACTGGCAGGCAAGTGGGAGGCTTCTCCGGCCCTGCTGCAAAGGTACGTCATTTCTCCGGCGCGACTCTGCCAGATTTGGCGGACTCGCGCCGGAGAAATTTGCCCGGCGCGAGCCCGCCAGATTTGGAAGAGCTGCGCCGGAGAAAATCGGAGGGGTCCGGAGCAGAAATGGGAGGTCTCCGGAGCAGAAAATGGGAGGTATCCGGAGCAGAAATGGGAGGTCTCCGGAGCAGAAATGGGAGGGCTCCGCCCGACAAATGGGAGACCCACCGCTGGGGAAACGCCGCGACCCTGCCATTTCTCCGGCGGAGGGGTCCTATCCGTTGCCTGAGTACGAAAGTAAATGCAGAATTAAACCAGTTTCACCTAAAACAGCTGACTCTTGGCAGCAGACCGCATACCAATTATTGAGCTAAAGTTAGAGCTCAGTAACTGGTATACGGTCTGCTGCCAAGCAGTCTCAGCTGTTTTAGGTGAGCACTGGGTTAATTCTGCATTTACTTTCGTAGCTCTTGGTTTACTGACGCATTGGATCTCTTTTCCGAGTCCTGATGCGGCTTTTGATGGGATAGAATACTCATGCATTCGACAATTTCAGACTCTGAAAAAGGCGATTTTGCCAAAACGTCAGTCGAATAAAGCAGTTGCTAATCTCAGTGTGAAGCTCAAGCAGTTCTCCAAGCAGTGTTGTCGCCTAAATGATAGTTACGATGGTCAAACAGTTCCTCATTATTCAACTACAAAAGTTGAATGGAGAGTGAAGTCTTTGTATAAGCTCCTGCAAGACGAAGGCGGTTGATTCGAGGCGCGACGTGGCTGTGACGCGGCTGTGACGCTGCTGTGACGCAGCCATGCCGCAGCCGCGTTGCACATCGAACCTACCGCCTTCGTCTTGCAGGAGCTTATATTTTGTCAAGATAAGCCACTTTTATATCTCACTCTCCACAGTCCCAAAGTTCTGGCTAGGCAACAACTACTAGCGATATGGCTAGAAACATCATTCAAACTGCGAAACAATTTTCCGCGTGAAGCTATCAAGGTGCAAAATCGGTACAAGTGTGGTCATAGTTTTGAAAAGCGGTAAATTCTCACTTGATAATGTGAGTTGTATCAATGTTTTGTACACAGATCAGTATGACCTATATTTTCGTATACAACCTATTGCCAGCCTCAGTCACGTCAAAAAATCAATTTTTTTAATCCAGAGAATGTAGGGCACGATCTCAACAATCCGAACTTTCCTTTCTTTAATAAATGTCCTGTATGTATCTGAAGTCGAAGGAGATTCCAACCAATTATCACCATTCTTCGAAGTGATAACCAGCTTTCCGCAGATTCGATATGTTGTGATCGTGACTACGGATTTCCCATGTGTTTTTTGAAAAAGCAATGTTTGGTCAAATTAAATTTATTGATTAGGAGATATTTGTTCCTGAACTTCATACTTCGGATATTCTTCTATCCATTCATACAACTTATTCTCGGAGGCGGTCAGGATCCTCCAAAGGTCCGCCGCTTCTTCTCCAGTAATGTCTTCGCGTCTACCACGCGCTTATGTCGCACATGTCTCGCACATTCTTGCGATAGTCCCCTCTCCGGACAATCGCCTTTCCCTTGGCATTAATTGAAAAGTACTGCTTGAACGAGGATTTTCCAATGATACAAAAGATGAAGATGTAAGATGAGAACTCTCACAAGGGAACGATACTCGTGTCCGTGGCCTTTTGAGATGAGATGTATACCATTATACTCGTCTTCGAACGTTGATTCCGAAAACTTTCGTTTCTGCTAATCGCTTCAAAGTTGTTATGATGGATCGCGCGGAGTTTGGCTGCCTAGTGAAATATGGTCGGAGCGCGAGCGATAGCGTCACGCTGTGGTCTAGTGGTTAGTGCGATAGCCTCATGAGTCGATGCAGGTGTAGGTTCGAGTCCCTTTGTGTTTCTCAGTTTTGCCTTGCCTCAGTTAACCTTCTTTTGCATCCCAAGCTGAGTGAACGCCCTTACTCTTCAAAAAATATGTAAATGTGGATTGAATGATTGGTGTTTGCGCTGAAATGTATCCAGTGATTATAATTCGAGTGAATTTTGCTGAACAAGTAAGCCAGTGCAAAGGTAAAAACACAAAAGGATTTAAACCTACACCTGCGTTGACTTATGAGACTATCGCACTATTTACTAGACCAGAACGTGACCGCAGTAGAGGCCGTTCAATGAGCATAATTCTCTTGGGCGGCCAAACTTAGCTCAAAATTCGCTATAACTTCTTTCAGAGAAACGATTAGCAGAAACGGAAGTCAGATTCGGAATCAGCGTTCGAAGACGAGTGTAACGATATGCATCTCGTCTCGAAAGGTCACGGACATTGAGTATCGTTTCCTTGTCAGTAATCAAATGGGTGGGAAACACTCGGTAATCACTTTAGTCAAGGTAAATTAAAAAGGTTTTTTGTAGTCGGAAAAGTCACCGCATCAACGATTTGTCAGTAAAAGACAAAAAATATGGAAATTAAGCTGACTGACAGGCAAATACATCCCGCTGTGGCTATTGAGATTTGGTAGATAAGAAGAAGCAGACGGTGATCACGTTTTCTCATCTGCGGAGCCCATGAGCATATTTTTGGAAATATACAACTTCAAAACATGAACTTCTGTCCTTATGAGAACGATGCCTCAAATGGGTATGTAATTCAGCAGGACCAGAATCACAGCAAACAATGTTGATGAAAACTCTTTTTCAATTGATTTCTCACTTCATGCCATGTTTCTGCAGAGCTAACTTCTAGGAAAAGTTTTCAGCTTTCCTTATTGCCAAATGCGTGCGGTCTGAGCTGCAAAATAATTCCCACAAAGGA